GCATTGGCTACAGATGGCAGTGCTTTCCTTTCATCAGTAATTAACAATTATAACAAAAAGGCCAATGCTTTTAATGTGCACATCTACACCAAAATACTATTTACAGGCTATATTGTTACATAATTGGAAATTTAAGTTCGACATATTCTATATAACTACACCAGAAAAAAATGCTTTCTTCTAAAAGAGAGAAAGAAAAAAAAAACATATGTGATCTACGAGACCCTAGTATTTACCTTAAAGACCGGAACAGCTCTCTCACATCAGATCACGTGGGGATTTTAACCTCTTAAGGACCAAGGCTATTTTGAACAGCTCTCTCACATCAGATCAAGTGGGGATTTTAACCCCTTAAGGACCAAGGCTATTTTGAGATGTAAGGCATATGTGAGCAAGACCCTTTTGGCACTTTTGCCATGTGTACATTCTGCCTCAGTTTCCATGTTTCTGTTTAAAGGAACAATGTATTGTTAGGAATATAAAGCTCTATTCCTATAGTGTCCCTCTGCCCCCTCCCTCCTTCTGGTATTTAAAGGGTTAAAAACCCTTTAAAAGGCTTGCCCAATTACAGCTCTGAAGCCACACATGCATTAGAAATTCCTACGTGGCTTTTCAAAACGTTGGACGTCCTAATGCAAAGCGTGAGGACATTCAGCGTTGTTTCACGGAGTTAAACTCCATGGATGAGCAGGAAACACCTATAGTGCCTGTTTGGTAGAAACCACTAGAGGCTGTCTTAACCCTGCAAAATAAACATTAAAACTTCTCTGAAACTGCAATGTATTAGATTGCAGGGTTAAGGGAACAGGGACAGCATACCGAGACCACTTTTGTGAGATTAAGTATTTTGGATGCCTATAGTGTCCATTTAAGGGCACCCGTACATTTTATATATCATTTTTTAAAGGAGAAATAGGGCTTCCTTTTGATACCGTGTATGTGTATATGACACAATATGAAAAATGAATTTAAATATTAACAAATGAAGGGAAAAAATGAATATTTTTCTCAGTTTTACATCTAATAATTTCTACACATTAAAGGACCACTATAGTGCCAGGAAAACATACTCGTTTTTCTGGCATTATAGTGCCCTGAGGGTGCCCCCACCCTCAGGGCCCCCCTCCCGTCGTGCTATAGGGTGAGGAAGGGGTTAAATTTACCTCTTTTTCCAGCGCCGGGCGGGGGACTCTCTTCCTCCTCTCCTCCTCTTCTCCTCTTCCACCTCCGCGGCACAATGCTTTCCTATGGACGCTGGCGTCTTCTCACTGTGAAAATCAGTGAGAAGCGCGGAAGTGCCTCTAGCGGCTGTCAATGAGACAGCAACTAGAGGCTGGATTAACCCTATTATAAACATATCAGTTTCTCTGAAACTGCTATGTTTATAGAATAAAGGGTTAAACCTACCTGGCCCTGGCACCCAGACCACTTTATTAAGCTGAAGTAGTCTGGGTGCCTATAGTGGTGCCTATAGTGGTCCTTTAAGCAGTGGCGGATCCGGGTGGGGGGGGGCAACGGGGCAATTGCCCCCCCCCCTGAGATTCTCCCCTGCCGGCTCATGCAGGGCTGGCATTGTCCAAGTGCCAGCCCTATAATGTGCCTGCGGACCAGGGAGGGAGATCACAGATCAGAGCTCTCCCTCCCCGGTCCGCAGGCACCGTGCTGGCAGCTGGCACGGGAGGGAGAGAGAGGACTCTTACCTGCAGCTCCTTCGGGTCCATGGCAGCGCTCCAAATCTCGCGAGAGTGCACTCTAGCCCTGGAGCGCGGGCTAGAGTTCACTCTTACCACTGGAACTACCAAGGATTCCCCACGGACCACCAGGGATCGAGAAATGTCTCCCCTGCTCCCAGGGACATAAATATATTTATCTTAATTAAATGTAAAAAAAAAAGCCTCCCTACCTTCCTTCCCCCCATACAAACACTGCCCC